TGTTGTTCTTTATTGAGCAAACTGCGGAGACATGCGTCTTATCATTCGCGAGGACCCAAAGGCTGTGGCATACTACACAGGTAAGCAGCAGCTTGCTATGCAATTTATTGAGCTTGTCCATTCGCAAGCGCTGGTAGTAGAAGCACGCATACCGACATTGTTTTTGTAAACAAGTGCTTTTGTTTACTAATTGCCGCTTTTGTGTGTCGTCAGGGGTGACGGGTATGCAACATTAAGTATAACTTTGACACTTTGTAGCCAACTATGTCCGGCAGCGAATCAACGAATTCAAGGCGACACGCAGCCGGCCATTTGTGCTGGGACTTCCCACGGGGTCGACACCAGTGGAGGTATACTGGCACTTGGTGGACTTTTACAAACGCGGCGAGTTGTCGTTCCGTAACGTTGTGACCTTTAGCATGGACGAGTATGTGGGGCTGCCGAGGACTCATCCCGAGAGCTACTGCTCGTTTATGCGGCGGCATCTCTACGACCATATCAATCTTCGCAGCGAAAACATACACATGTTGGATGGAAACGCGGAGGACCTGGCAGCCGAGTGCCAGCGCTACGAGGACAAGATCAAGGAGGTCGGTGGAATTGAGCTTTTCCTGGGCGGAATCGGGCCAGACGGGCATATTGCGTTTAACGAGCCTGGGAGTTCTCTCGAATCGGTCACTCGCGTTAAGACGCTTGCATATGAGACAGTATTGGCTAATGCGCGTTTCTTCGGCGGTGACGTCAACAAGGTACCCAAGCTTGCACTGACTGTCGGTGTTGGCACAGTGCGAGCCGCTCGCGAGGTGCTTCTTATTATAACTGGCGCACACAAGGCAGTTGCACTGGCAAAATGCATTGAAGAGGGCGTCAACCACATGTGGACGCTGTCCGTGGTGCAACTGCATCCGTCGGCAATGGTCGTGTGTGACGAGGATGCAACGCTGGAGCTGCATGTCAAGACCGTCCGCTACTTTAAGAGCATCGAGCAGGTGCAGGAGCAGCTGATCGGTCGCCAAAACATTGGTCTAAAGGGCTCCATCTCAAAACTGTCCCATGCCGACGCGCAAGGCTTGTATACATCAGCACCGCAGCCGCCGTCAGAACCAGATAGCAACGCCAGCGCAGAGCCTGATTTAAGTGAAGAAATGGGCCAGAGCGATGTAGACGAGGAGGAGTATGTTGCCTACAGCGATGCTGGCAAGTCATTCAAAGCTACTTTAATGCCCGTCGACGATTCTGCCGGCAGTTCCGGCGAGTTGCACGATGGCGCCAGCCCCAGCGCCACCCGTGCAGCTGTCGCAGCTGTTGGCGGTCCCTTTCAAATACCCCCGTCTCCACAAAACTCAACTATATGCTAGGTCCATGCTCACTCGGCATGGATCCAGCCGCAACAGCAGCAGCGCACCGCCCTTATCTGCCCCAAACAACAGACTCTCAAGGGGTTTATCACCGGAGGAGGAAGTTCATGGTTGCCAATCAGGCGTATCATCTCCAGATTTCTCAGAACGCCAAGTCGGGAATGTCATTGGTGGGGTTGGCTCGAGCAACAGTAGCCACAGCAGTCAACACAGCTCCAGAGCGAGTGCCTTGGATGTTGGGCCGCGCCCGCGGTATATGCTTCCACGAGCGTCGGGCATGAGCACCATGGGCGAGATCCATTCGCTGGCTCCGCCCCATGTCCAGTCTTCTGCGGCCTTGGCCTCCAGCCCGTCTGAACACGATCAGTCATCTGTTTATCCAGCGACGTGGCACGAGTATGAGGACCAGTTCAACTACTTCTACAACTGTCATTTTATTGAGCAGGACTATTACGACTATCTGTCGGGCAATCTGCGCCGTCCTAGTGACAACGACTCGAACGCTAGCACCGACCAAAGTGCTGACAGTGTAGATGAGAGCGTATATGGCGGGTCATCCTATTCTACCAGCGAGGATGAGGTCTGTGCTTCAGATCGTGAGGCCACCAGTGCTGCGCTGTCCGTGAGAAGCTGCGAGGAGCCAACTACTTAATTATATCGTGCCTACGGTTGTGCGACCCTTGCCTGTTACCTGCTGTTTTTCTATTTCCCTAATAGCTTATTTAGTTTTATCTGTGCAATCCCCGAGACGGGGGAAAATATATCATAGTGTACCTTGATCTGTCAAACGACTTGAAAGATGTGTTGGATACACTAGTTGGTTGCAGACGCGTGTATTTTTTTACAAGTAATTTGGGAAATTATCGAGACACGTAAACAGTTGAAAATTTTATTTTGCAGTAGCCGCGCGACGCTCAGCGCCCTTGTTCGGCTCCTTTCTATAAACCTGCTCTAGGAAAATATTTTGGTGAGAGTATAAACAATGATAGGTACCAGACCAGCAGCAACACCAAGCACCCAGAAAACCTACAAATGCTCTCACGAGTAACGGAATAAGAATAAATGATGGCAAACAGTAAAGTTAGCGTAGGTCTAGAATCACACCCAATCATGGGCATGCCCAAACCAGTCTCCACATCTAGCATCTCTGGAGATATGTTGCGGCGACAAAGAGTATCAATCGCAACAGATACCACCGATGTGTGGTCAAGCTGTATATAAGCGGCACTTGACTGTCTGCAATTCTACTCTATTTGTTCAGGCACATAGGGAGGAGACAATAGGTAATGCTACCCTAAATATTTTAAAGATATAGCAAGGGGGCGGGTAGTTGGTAATAGCAAGCATCTACCAAACTGACGCGGGCCATATAGGATGACAAGAGAGAAGGAGTGGGTAGAAGACAGGGGTTACAGACGCTTACCATGGTTTGGCTTTGTTCCACCATGAAAGTCCAGCACGGCTTTGCTTCCACTCACGAACGCATGTCAGAGGTCTCCTTTCGATATCCGAACAGCCAGTGGCAGAGATGATGTGGTGCGTGTGGCCATCGATGACTACGACTTTAGGCAGCTGTGAAACCGAAACCTCCATGCGTCTTGCCAGATCTTGACGCAGTCCGTGCTCGCTCCACGGAACACACAACCACCCGGTGCCAGCCATCATCCGCGCCATGTCCGCTGGATGGTTGTCCAACGACACATGCACAACTACCAGATCGTCGCGATGCGCCGATGACACACTCAGCAGCAGCGGCGTAAACTCGTCGCAGTCGGCGCTCCAGGTGGCTGCAAAGTACATAACCACCAATTTTCTCCCCAGTGACGCCTGAGTTGCGGACACCATGCGTTGCTGCTCATCCTCCAACACGCGCAGATTGGAAATCACCGTGTCGCCCTCCACCAACATCCGGTAGCTCCGCGACTGGCTGGCGTCCATGCTCAGCCGAATCGTCAGCTCGGCACTACTGGTTCTTCCACAGATATCCGACGTTATCCGCTGGTGATTGGTATGCGATGTGAATGCTGACATGGCAGAATTGAATCGGGGCCGCGTTCCAATAGGTAGCGTGGTCACTGCTGATGCGCGTGATGAGATAAGCTGGTGCGAGCTCTGGCTTAGTCGGTGGCTCAGGCTGGCCCGCGATGATGCACTTAACGCAATGCTACTTCGAGCTGCGCTCATGCTACGCGTCCCTCTCACATGCAGCGACTGCTCTGTCTCAAACGGATATAAATCCTCGTTGTTTAGAGTCCCTACGAGGCTGCTTGTCTGACTCTGACCCATTTCAATAGCTATGATGTGCTCCTCCGATGCGGTAGACTCCTCGCCCATATATCCGAATATCGGTCGGGTCATTGCGCTAGCAGAATTCTTGACAATCGTAGCCACCGTGCTATCTCGCCCGGCCGACATTGTTCTGCGCTTGGGCAGCCGCAATTTTTGCAACCCCGACGTGCTAGACTGTAGTGTAGAAACTTGCTGCTGTTGCTGTTGCTTCTGTTGTCGCTGGTTTTTGTCAGATAGCCAGGGCGCCGTCATTGGCTTCATATCTGTAGATACGCGGCTAAGATGCATTGTGCGTTGCTTCCTGTGAGCATGCTCTGTTCTGTTCCCCGGTGACATGGGTGACGGCGGCAGCAGTGGCACCTTCAGCTGCGTGTTTGGAGATAAAGTCTCCGTCTCGGACACCATTGCTGAGAGCGGCAAGCCATCCATAGTGTTGATCACCAAGGTCGGAATATAATTTTTTGTATTTGGCGGAACAACGCAACGCAGTTAGAGAGGTGCGGCTAAACAAAATAATCAAAGCTGAGAGTAGAGTCGACAGTTAATCAAGAAGCGCTGAAACAGAAAGAAAAAAGAAAGTGAAGAAAAGCAGCATGCTGGTGCCTCAACCAGCAGCATTAACAGACAGGAGGTGCAGATGCACGCCTTGAATGTCATGCCAGCGTGCCTGAAGTTGGCCTGCACGGCGTGGAATGGAGAGAAAGAGGGTCCAATCGGAGACCGGAAGCTGAGGGTAGGGATCGGCGCAATACCCGCGAGAATGCGATCGCCACCACCCCTCAAAGCTTGCGTGCTACTGCACCACGCTCTACAAAGGACGAAAATGGAACACAAAAAAAAAAAATTATAGTACATCTCAAGTGTGCTAGAATCTTTGGTCCATCTCACTGCTTTTTAGAACAGTCAGAGCCTTGGACCAAAGTCTACATTAAACCACCCTCAAGCAGATCTGCTTCTAGACACAGACAAGCATACAAACAATTCTGACTAGTGGACATATGTTGCAATTAACAAACAGGAGGTTATGCAATAACACCTGCTACACAGGCTACTTAAATAGCAGTCTGAATGCTAGTAGTTTCAACTAGTACTGTGGAGCATAAAGCGGATCAGTCTCATGCGTTCCCCAGAAAAGGTGATGTCACCACCGATATGCCAAAGGTGGATATTAAAGCATTTAACATTGGTGATGTAACATATAAAAAGTATGTGGTCTCGCAATGTGCACTAGGGTCTTAAGCAAAAAAGTTTTAATGGTGGTTAGACAGTATCAAAAACAAATTGTTAAAGGCTTGCTATAGTTATAAGCTAAAAATGCATAAAAAAAAACAAAAAGCCAGAAACAACAAAAAGTTCCGTAACGGGGAATCGAACCCCGGTCGCTACGGTGAAAGCGTAGAATCATAGCCACTAGACCATTACGGATTTTGAGGTTATTAGCCAAGCTAATCAACCACTTCTGATCTACTAACATATATGTAAATATTTAACCTTGCAATATTATTAAATACAAAACGGTAATGCACTTTTACAAAGTGTTAGAGCTGGCATGTATCTCTAGTATTTTGTACATGCTAGTACAGCACGTAAGTAAAAATATTAAACAAATTTATTAATTTTTTGGAGAGGCAGACAATTAAAGCTAAGACTTTTTCATTACATATTTCACTTGCTAATGCAGTTTTTGTACTCCGAAACCTGGGAATTTGGATAGCGGATTCGCAACCACAGCAGCTGCGGCGTTTGAAAAGCGGCATCCAGTATGCGTGCGTGTATTGCTTGGTTTCTGCTGTCACGCGCATCTGTGCGGGTGATGATGCGCACCTCGATGCCTGTAAGCCGCGCATACTTGTGTAAGGGTCTTGTGCTCTCTTTACTGCTCTCTGAGAGTAGCCAACCAGCAACGGATACATCAATAGGAATGACAAGTTTGCGAAGCGAGTGTAGAGCCCCGCGCAGCAACACATTGTTTGCAAAAGGATACGCAGAAGTGCAGCAGAGATGTTCGAGGCGTGGAAATGGTGTTCCTGAGGGTGCAGTTCTCTGGTGCAATTCGCTTTCGTCAAAAGCACCAAGCACATCCAACACAAGCATTTTTGTGCGCGAGTATACCACCGGCACTCCAAGATGGTCTTCCACAATGCCATTGCAGTCACGAATGTAGATATAGCGCACCTCTAGTCGGACAAGGGTAGTTGCTTGCTGCCGCGCAACAGCAAGCATATCTTCCAAGCTAGACCCAGAAATACTTAACACAAGGGAGCTCAGGTTTGGCAGAGCGGTTGCTGCAAAAGCAAGCGCGGGACAGAAAGAAGCGTCAATGTAAACAATTCTGCTGCATATGGTCTGTGTACAATAGGTAGATATGGATGGTACGTGGCTGCACTTTTCTGCGCCGCTGTTGCTGTTGCTGCCATTTTCCTGGCTATCAGGTGCTTTAATTGCATGCACAATCCTCGCGTTGCTTGCCTCAATTTTTATCTGTTGAATATCTGGAAGCGCATCCTCCAGTGCACTAAAAATTGGCCCGGGGTCTATTGTCGTGCTTTCTATGCGTGGCTCTTGAGACATATTATCCATTGTTCTCTGGCCAACAAGGCATAGCCGCACACGGGAGATTTTGACAAATTTATCCTTTAGCTTGCGAAGCTCGTCTTGCAACTCGCACAGAAATACAGATCTGTGAGAAGCCACTACAACAGCTTCTCTGGCATAACCTTGCCATCCAAGCTTGTGCGCTTTGGTAGACGACAGTCCCTTGCGTGCCCAGTAGATTGACTGCCTATCCGCAGATGAGCACACTGTTATGCAAGAGCAGTATATAGGAAGAGCTGCTGTCCGCCATAGTCGACATACCGAGAGCAGGGCATTTATATTAACGGGCTCTTGTTTGTAGATACCTAGGACGGGTACAACGGCAACTAGTATAATCTGGCGCACTATATCCTCTGGGAGATGCCGTGCCAAGCTTGTTACATGTAATTGCATGATAATATTGCAAAGTTAGTTTTTGAAAATAATATAATCAACGGGTAGGATTCAAAATGACGCAGGTTTATAATAGCTTTAAATATATAGCGTCATAAGGATGTGTGTGTTGTTGAAGACGACATTCGTTGTTATTCTAGCACTCCTGTTTGCTTTAGAACAAAAAATGAGACGAGGTAAGCTATAATATTGGTGAGAATAATTGTAAAGTTCTCCAGATTCCAACCGCTAGCTTTTTCACTATATATACCAAGCGCAATACATCGAAATGTGAGTGTTGCTTGATGCTCATGGGTACAGTGCATATGCACTCTGCCACCTTCGACATTTAATATTCCTTTTACCTTCCTCAATTGTGTTGGTCACCCCCTCATTCCCAAAAACAAGTGCACTAATTTCTGCTTCCACTCATATCCTGTCGTTTTATACCCCCCCTCCGTGTTGAGGCGATGTCGGAGAGGTCTAACAGTGCATCACAAATGTACAGCCCCTTCCCCCCTACAATCACTAAGAATCTGTCTCAATCTGATCTAGACATCATTGCCCTTGTTCCAGGCTACATTGAAGCTTGTTGTCGCTTTCACAAATATGGTGCATCTTATTCTTAAAACATACGGGCACATACATATATTAGCATGCGCATATTTTTTTTATTTATATAGTCATATTATAGAGAAATAGAAGGGATAGTCGGTAAAAATAACTTGCATAAAATCTACTTGTTGTAATTGCAATTCTAACATATCTTTACTAAATGTATGAGATGTTTGCCTTAAGCATTTGGATTAAAAATACACTATCAAAAATATTGTGTTTTAAACCATGGTATTTGCTGTTATATCGTGAACATCTTTATCTTGCACCAATATCTTGTGGTGACATCTGTCAGCACAAATAAGGCGTTGAAACAGCAACATTAGGCAAGTTACTGCAGCCACCATAAAAGTGGTTCCAAATTCTCTAAAGCGGTTTGAGGTTACATTCAAGAAATATAAAGTCTTCCTTCCAGGGTGCTTTTTTAGTTTAAAAACATAAACAGTCTTTCTGACCAACAATATAGACAACAATCTAACCTATATAATAATATACATACTGTCACGCTAGCAAGTCTTTATTGCAAAAAAAAATGATACTTGTATTTGCTCAACCCTCACTTTATGTAAAGCTTATACGGCTGGTAGTCATGTACTCAGTTTGTATACTACCAATTGCATTGGCTGAAATCTCGGCAATACTGTCGCCGCTTGCCTCAACTGTGTGGGTACCTGGAGAGCAAGGAACAATTTCATACAGAATTTCTGGTGAACCAGATGGCGAGTCATACGAGATTGACCTGATGAGTGGCGACCCCAACAACGCGCAGCTGGTGCATGTATTTGAGCAGACAGCCGAGCCTACCATCGCTGGTATCAATTCTGTCACCGTCGACATCCCATCTACCATCCCTGAGGGTACATATGGGGTGCGACTAGGTCTCCCAGACGACAAGGAGTGGAAATACTCGCAACTTTTTAGTATTAGTCATGATGGCAGCGTCGCTGCAGATACCGCTGGTGACAAAGAGGTAGTTGGCAATTCTTTTGCTCCTGTACTTGCAGATGTCAAGGATTCAGAAGGCGACAAGAGCCACACAGAACAGACAACCGAACAATCAGAAAGCAGCTCTCAAACATTATCTGGTAGAGGTGCCTCCATCGCATCTAGACATCTGGCACTAGTTGCAATAATATATTTCTTCTAATACTGTTTTTAAAAAACTTTTGGCGCATGAAAAAAAATAAGATTTATGTCGGTCAAGGTAATTTTTGGTAGCGAAGTGGTCTTGTGTTTTGCGTCAAGAGAAACAAAGTGTGTGCGTGATTGGCGTGTGTATTTGGCGGGTACAGTTTGCGTCGGCAGACAAGAAGAAAGAGCCAAGAAGCAGATCAACAAGACATTAATAGTAGTTTTGAGTAGACACATAGCATAGATGTTTTTAGCAATGATATAGCAATACAATACAATACATGTAACTTGTCTTGTTGCCCTCTGCTTATCAGTCTGCACCGCAAAAACTAACGCCTACTACACTGCCAACGGCACTTCTGCCCATGCACAAATGACGCCCTGCGCACAACGCAAACACACTACTTGAATGGCGCAAACCTGCTATACCAACTCCCACCAAAATAATCTTTTCTAAACGCTAATACTATAGCAAAATAGAGTATTTCACATCTATTGATTTAAAAGTGTTACCGCACAAGAATATAAATTGGCGAAAAAATTAAAGATAAATAGAACAATAGCCAGCCCTATGGAGCATACATATACAAATTGTCAATAGTACCAGCAACAGCTCAATGATGCTTGCCCAGCGCCATTGGCTTGCTCCCCCTTAAGATCTTGCTCCTAGCCTCAGGCGAGATAACTGACTTAACCTTGCTAACCTGTATTCCAGAGCGGAGGGCCTCGCACATGACATCATAACAGTAGTTTGCGGTCTTCATAATGTCCTTGACCCAGTCTGAAGCTTCACCAGCAGTATCAGCACGGAGTTGCAAGACCTCGCCGTTCTTCAAATTAACAAGCTCAAACTGGTCCTTTATCGGTTCTCGCGCAAGCAGGTCATACGTCTGAATAGGCAGACGGTACGGCTCGTAGCACCATACGCCGCCCCGGCGGTCAGACATAGTAATCATCATAAAGTCGTTGAAGAGAATTGCATACAGGTGCTTACCCGACGACGCCTTGCGCAGCGGGCCTTTACGCACAAACCGACGCTGACCGACAAGCTTCGTAAATGTATCAAGCTTGAGCTGCACACCGCCCAGCAGATGTGCCCAGTCAAATGTGCTTTGCAGCTCAGCCAGGCGCTGACGATTCATAAGCTCTTCGGACTTACGGTCAACCTCAGTAGCCACGCTGCCAGAGATGCTCAGCGCCAGGGCTACATCCTCGTGGTCCGGATGGTCCTCGGGAGTGTATTTAAGCAGCGCCTCGAGAAGCAGCGGGTAGCGCATGACACGTTGCACTGGCGCCAACAGAAACGACTCTAGTCGCAGGCGCCGCACACGGGGATCCTTTTCAGCTTGCTCCAGGGTCTGTAGCAGTTTCTGGTGAGCATCCCGAGTAGCATCGTTGCGTAAGTTAAGCCGTGAGCTACTCTCGCGCACAAGTTTTAGGTACTCAATCGCCTTGTCATGGTTGGCGGAGTACTGGGCATAATGTTCAGAAAAGTCCTTCAAGTAGCTGGCCATCACGTCGCCGATGCAGACATTCCGGAAATAGTCAAGCACCCGGTTTTCAGACCATCTGGAAGCATCGTCCTCATCTTCCTCTGACACGCTTCCCAGGCTGCGAAAGCTGCCATGGCGTTCTGTAGTGGCACCCGATACTGCGCCATTCGATGCACCCGAAGTGCTGGTTCTGATGGACATGTCGTCGCCATTAGATAT